CAAATATTAAACTAGACACTGTCATTTCAGTACAACAATATCCAAACAAATATTAAACTAGACACTGTCATTTCAGTACAACAATATCCAAACAAATATTAAACTAGACACTGTCATTTCAGTACAACAATTTCCAAACAAATATTAAACTAGACACTGTCATTTCAGTACAACAATATCCATAAAAATATTAAACTAGACAAAAACATTTCAATTGTAATTTCTAAGTAAGCGAAAATATATTTCAAAAAAGAAAAAATCGTAAATAAAACTATTAACAAAACGAAAGAAATACTTAACGGCATCTGCCTCTTCTAGACGGCTAGTATTTCTAGAGAGCAGTGAGGCGAGGCTTAGAAACACCTGTAGATGACTGGGGGTCACGTGGGTTTCTGTCATACTTAAGTCTTCCACTTGGGGTAGCATATCCTTAGCCTTATATAATAAGGATAAAATAAAACAGTTCTAAAAAAAAGTATGAATTGATGGATTCCAATAAATAACGTTTTAAGTCTTAGGTGAAAATAAAATTCTTCTTAAGAACAATTAAAGAAAAAAAATATTTTGTTTTTCCTAAGTGATGCGAAACAAAAATCCTTTACTAGGTTTGTTGATATTGAAAGTTTGAGAAGATAGTGAAGACAATTTCCAACAGCAGAATCGATTAACTATCGCGTAGATGATGTCACATGATGATGACTGAGGACGAGAGAATCGATCTATCGTGAGAAACAACTGCTATAAAAACTATAATTATCGTGTCTGCGAAAATTCCAGTTTCAATCGAAGTCAGGAATTATGATGATAAGTTGTCTTCATGTAAACGGTAATAAATGTGAAATCATCGTAATAAAATTGTGTAAATGTGAAAACAGCTGAAACGATTAGTACTTGGTTCATATTGGAGTATAATAAAAGAATATGCAGGCGGTTAGTTTTGTTCCTACAAAAAAAAAAAGCACCATGTTGATCGCAAATTGTTGAGCGATTGAATAAGCTGAGTTACGAACTGTAACCAAATTTATACAGCAGACTCGTCTTGATATGTTGTGTATTTACATTGACTTTTCTCAAGTAATTAATAAATCAATAACCTCGTTCAGGGAAAGTGTAGACAAGTTTCGTATCTAGTTTTCCACAACATATAAATATGTATAAAATATTCTTGAGCAAAAAATAATTAATATTTAAAATGTTCGTTAACATTCATTAAATGATTAAATAAGAACATACTGACCTATTATTTCATTCGATGATTAGCTTCTAACAAATTACAAACAGGATCATACTTGACTGTAATATTTTTATTAAATTGAACGAATGGTGTTAATAACAAATATATATTTTTTCTTCTCTTTTGATTAAATTATATATCTATAGTGAGGAAAAGCGCGTGTGTGGAATTATTAATGATAAAATCGTTATTTTCATACCCTTTCTCAACAATACTTTTTTAACAGCATTGACATTTATTTGCCATGAATATCGATTTTTGATATAAAAATCAGAGAAATGATTAGAGAAACATTTGTAATTTGTTCCACTACCTTTCTGTAGATTTTCTCCGCCTCCTGGTAACGCCTCAGGTACGTTAACACTCGGCCAGCGTTCAGAAACCCGCGAACGTCGTTCGGTTCCAATCTAATCAAAGGAACAGTTTCTCAATGATTATATTATTACTAAACGAAAATCTAGACACACAAGGAACATAATCACCTGATTAAAATAAGGACAAATCGTATTTAATACGGTATTGACCAATACATCTTATGTGCAAACACCAATGACCCACTAAGTCATTTCTCTTGTTAAACTAACTACAAATGAAGTAATTTCTTAAACTTTAAGTGTAATATTACAGACACATTAATGAAGCAACATCTTGAACTTTAACTGCAAGATGTTGCTTCATTAATGTGTCTGTAATATTAAACTTAGCTCTAATATTACAGACACATTAATGAAGCAACATCTTGAACTTTAACTGTAATATTTCATATTGTTACGTATCTGCTTATTTGTTAATTTCCGGTATAAATTCTTTCCGAGGAACTTCGGCGATACAAGTCCTTTCTTGATTAAAACTAGTTTATTCTTTATCGATACAAATTTTAGTAATACACAGACTTTCCACAGTCACTTTAAACTTAACAACTTTTATAATACACACTATAAATCACAGCGATTCACAAGCTCGATAATTTCACTCTATGCGACTGCAAAACAAACACAATTTACGGCTCAACGTCACTACTGTTTGGTTGACTCAATTATCTATCTCTTCAAAATCACGCTGGGTTTTCTCGCCAGGCTTATATAATAAAACGAGGGCGTCTCGAATGCACTCGGGGCCTCCATGATCATTCGAGAAATTTCATGTACGCTACCACTGCCAAACGCACCAGCAGCGTCACATGACTTCCGAACAATAGCCACTTACATTAAACCAATAGATAATTAACACTTGATTAAATGTACAGAATTTACAAACACAAAATTAAAATACAACAAAGTCTCTTAATTTTACAGGACGTTTCTTCTTTTATACTGGTCTCCGTTTCGTTGACTTCTGTGAAACGTGGGGTTCACCTACTCCTTCAGGAAATGTCCTATTATCGGTAACAGTCACATTAGTGGTAGTAACTTCATTAACATCTTCACTGTTTTCCTTGTCAAAACCGGGTAGAGTTTCTTCTTCAACAGTGTTTTTTTTTTCAGGTGACAAGTCTTCAGCAGCATCATTTGTTCCGTTGTTAACTTCGTTCCAACTGAAATGTCCTGGACCGAGATAGCGCCAATGCCTGTTGGCATGCACCACCATTGGCTTACCTCGCCGACCATATTTTATTCGGAAAGTCACGTCTAAGAGACGACCCCCTATGTCATGTTGGCCTTCCCATAGAGAAGACAACTTAGGAGACTTCCCTTTGGTCTTCCTGAGATTATACAACCACACCTTGTCTCCTGGTACAAAGCTGACTTTAGTAGATCTCTTATCATCAGATAACTTCATCGAATCAGCAGACGTTTTCAAGTTTGAATGCACTTGATGGTGAATATCATCCATCCTTTCCGATAACACTTTTACGAACTCGTAAGGTGTGCGTCCTGTTATCAGGTCCACTGGCAACCAAAGTTCTCGACCAAGCATTAACTTTGCTGGAGTTTATCCAGTGGCTTCATGCTCTGCTGTCCTATAGGCCATCAACAGTGGAGGGAGTAAGACATCCCAGTCATGTTGGCGACTATTACAACACTTTGCCAATTCCTGTCCAAGTGTCCAATTGTACTTTTCTACTATCCCTTCGGACTGTGGGTGAAGTGGCATTGTTCTGGTCTTTCGTATGCAAAACAACTTGCAGCATTCATGGAACACAGATGATTCAAAGTTATGGCCTTGATCAGAATGCAGTTCGTGTGGCATACCAAACCTGAAGAAGAAATCACTAATAGCCGAAGCTGATTTGGTATTGCATATGATTCAGGCCACTTGGGGAAATAATCTATCACCACACAAATGTGCCTGTTTCCAGCACGCGTTTGGGGCAAATGACCTGCAATGTCAAAGGCTACTCTTTCCTTTGATGCAACAACTTGATATAACTTCATTGGAGCACATCCCTTATGCTTGGGTACCCTTTTAGCACAACATGTACTGCATTTCTTGTACCATTCTTTCACATCTTGTCTCATACCTATACAATAAATTCTCTGCCATAGGTGACTCAAAGTCTTCTTAACTCCACAATGTCCTCCTGTTAAACTATCATGGGATTGATGCAGCACACCTTCCAGTAACTTTCTCGGTATAGCTTTTGCCAGGTCGTCACTTTCCCGTCTGCAGTTTCCCATCTCCAGACAAGAATAAAATCTTAAAGCTTCAACTGGTCCCATTATGCCCAATAGTTCTTTGTCATAGGGTTTAAGCTAGACAATTTCTCCCAAGCAGGGCGCAAAACACTTGCTTGTAGAAAATCAATTATTGGCTTCAAATCTTGGTCTTTTTCCTGTTCTGCTTTAATATCTATACTTGGATCCATTTCACCAGCATCAACTCCTTCGGTCACTTTGACTTCAGTTTGATGGTACTTGGTTAGTCCAACCTCTCTTTTAACACTAAAATACGGATTAATGAGCTAATTCTCACACAATCTAAAGTTTGGATTAATAAGATAATTCTCACACAATCTAAAGTTTGGATTAATAAGATAAGTCTCACACAATTAAATGTAAGGTATAGGTTAATAAACTAAATCTGAAGCAACTTAAATTAAGGATTAATGAGCTAAGTCTAACACAATTTAAAGTATGATTTAGTGAGGTTAATCGTACACAATTTAAAGTATGGTTTAATGAGGTTAATCTAATGCAAATGTTATCCTCACAATACTAAGAATTTTGCATCGTAATAATAAAAATAAAAATGTCTTTGTACATGAAAAAACAAACATATACATTACGTGATGGCTCGATTATAGTAAAGCAGCGCCTCCTGGTGGTGATTTTCTGCTTCCAACACTTTTCCCACATTATTATGCAGTTTAGCATTAGAAGGATTTACCTTTAAACCAGAGAGGAACAGAGTTTTTTCGCTTACCCTAAAAAAAGAAAAGGCATCTTTTAGGCTACAATAATCTGTTCTTTTTAGTAACAAAAAAGGGGGAAGTCTAGTATGGAATTCTCGGTCACTCATTTACTGTCAACATTGACTTCCAAACTCATTTACTGTCAACATTGACTTCCAATCAGCATAAATATGTATATAATTTACTGTCAACATTGACTTCCAATCAGCATAAATATATATATAATTTACTGTCAACATTGACTTCCAAACTCATTTACTGTCAACATTGACTTCCAAACTCATTTACTGTCAACATTGACTTACAATCAGCATAAATATATATATATCTAGTTAAACAGATCACAGAAAAATGATCCTTGAATTTTGACGAAAACTTTTTATTCCATAAATAAAAGTATAATTTTATGATTAAAAATATAAACTAAACATTGAAAAATAAACCGAATAATTTACTGTAGATGTAATATTCCATCGTTCGTCTTTCTTTTGTGTGAAGACAAAGTGAAAATGCTAAATTAAAAAAAAAATGTTTTCTTTCTTTAATATACAGCAAAACTTAAAAGTGAAAACAAAACTTGGATATTGATCAAATCTATTAGTTCTTCGAGTACCCGAACTCTTACCAAACTACAATCGTAACCAAAACCAAAATTCAACAGTACGTTTTATTAGTCTTCTAGGAAACAAACATGCTTCTTTCTTAATTATTGCCCTACAGTGTCAATTGATATAAAATCTGTTTCGTATTCGCTTTGATTAATTCACACTTTTGTCGTTTCTTATTTGATCTCTATATTTTTTTACTTGTTTACATCCATTTCTCTTTCTTATATCAATTATATTCGATATATAATGTTTATTGTTTAAACTCCAATATCTATATTATATGAAACGCTTTTATCTCTTGTTTTTATCCTATGTTTATCCTTTTTATTCACCAATCATTGTTCTTTCTATACCATCATGTTCATCCCTGAAAATCCGTGATGTTTTTCTTTCCTATATATTCATCTTTCACTCTTTTTATATTAATTTTTTTAAACGTTCATTATTTCAGATACTTTTATATTTAATACTATCTTATCATAATATCTAACAATTTCTTTGTAACGATTCTTTTCCCCCTGATGTTCGTATATATATCTTTTTGTACATTGTATTGATTTATTTCCCTCCTATACATTTATTCTTTCTTATGCTTTGAATTAATAGTATTTTTATTTGACATACATCCTTTCCTTTTCTTTCACTTCGTTTATTTTTATCTTAGCCTTCATTGTTCATCGATTCAAATATTTCGGTCGACGATGAAAAATGCTTTTAACAAATTGTTGAAACATTCGAGCAAAATGTATTCCCTCTTACTTGATGGACTCATTACGTGTAAAATCACTAGAATCTACAACTACCATTCTGTGTTCCGCTGTACGGTTTTGATGCTATGTGTTGACAGGAGGAGGAGCAGTCCAAAGTTGGCAAATATTTTGACGGACCTAAGAAAAAAAGTTTCATGCCCTATCATTGCCTGTATCATTGTGCATCAGTTTGACGAAAAATAAATTATAATTATCATTATTGGATAAGGTACAAAATCAATAACAAGTAAGATGACAGTTACCAAATATAAATAAATAAAAACCCAACCAATTAATTTTACCTAAAATATGACTAAACTATAAATATATTACACCATAAAAGGAAACTAAGTCAGTTGATGCTAAATCAAAAGTGACTTAACAATACTAGGTAACATCAAGGGAAACTGAACATTATTAATGTTACATCAAAAGTGATTTAACAATACTAGGTAACATCAAGGGAAATCGAACATTATCAATATTACATCAAAAGTGATTTAACAATACTAGGTA